ATACAGATAGGGTACAAGGATTGTCCTTGGGGTCTGGCCCATTCCTTTGGATCTTATTTGGAGAATATTTTGCCATGATTGCTTTGATATCCAGGTGAGCAATACAGGCCCTCTGGGCCTCTTGTTTGGTTCTATGACAGAGGCCAGTTGATGTAGCTAGGACAATGACATCAGTTTTGTATTTAACACATGGTTTTTAGAGGTTGTTGGTAGCCACTGTGCAATCCAGACCTTGCAGCCTATTTTCCTCATCAATCAATCATGATCCTCCCACTACATCATATAAACAGTGGAATATGTCTGTCACATTGGCATGGATTTGTTATAGGTCTTTGAGGCATGATATTCACATGAGAATACTTGAATTAACAAAATGGATACTGTCATTGGTATTTCATCTCCTGCTGGGAGTACAAAGTACAATTAGCGTGAGTGATTCTTTTCTCATTACATCATGCCTCCAGCCTCAGTTTGGTCGATGATCTGACTTCTGTCCCTCTATATGAAACACTGGGAGGCCTCGCTTCTATTCTGCTCTAAAATGTATGAGCCTATAATTATGCATTCCTAAATGGAAATCATTTCGTAAAGTAGCCCAATGAGCATTGTCCTGTACAATGGAATGGTCTAATTAGTGCTGAATGGGTGTGGTCTTTTTGATTGACCCAATATCTTCTGATGATAACCAGATCCCTTCTATTGTAGGCCTGGTCATTCTCAGGATAGTTTTAGCTCACCTGTCCAGAAGGGCCTAGTCAGCATATATGCCATGGCGAAGTATTTAAGTCCCGAACTATTACTGTTATTGGAACCATTTCAGCTTCCTGTCTAGTTCAGATAGAAAAAGAAACAAGTGAATGATACAGGTACAATGAACCTTTTTGTTTATTTTATTAACAGAAAGATTAATTGATACCAACACAAATATCTACAGAATTTATAGTACTATGTTAAACCCATCAGCAGCCTTCGTGGCTATCTTTGTATCCATCATGTATTCGTCCAAAGTCCTCAAGTTCATTGTGCTTCTTCTCATGGTGTCATTTTAACATTGAGGAAACCGTCTGTATTTCCTCCTAGCTATAAGTCTGTAGTTGTTTTATTAATCCAAAAATCTACAAAAAAAAAAAAAAATGAATTGATTGAAAATTTGTTAATTTGAATGTAAGCAATACATTTCTGGCTGTGAGACTATTTTTTCCAGATAAGAATATAGTAAATGTAAAATTCAGTGATATAACTCTGAATTTGATAGCCATGACCTAACTGTTAGACTGGACCCCGTCTCTAGAATATTGAATCGTTTAGAAAAAAAATAGACTCTAATAATTTTGATCACTTTGATGTCTGATTCCTAAGTTCTTAACTAGGGGGAGATAAGCTAGAAGTAACATGCAGCCAAGAAGTTCTTCAAAAAAACTTACACTGTCTGAAAATATGATGTAGCTAGCATTGAAAATAAGCCATCAATTCTTAGCTAGACCTTCCAATGTTCAAAAGGGTTTAATTAGCACCTGTGGCTGTGGACCAAGTGAGTTTATACTGTGGTTCTGTGTCCATTGTCTGTCGACTTTAAATTTAATAGAGATTTTTACTGATTTTATATGAAGCATCCTCAGGTCATGGCTTCAATACAAGTGTATCAATTTTACCAAACTTTGATTTGAAGCAATACTTACTGTAGGCCTAGGGTCTTCAATTTTATAAGTTATTATGACAAAAGGTCCTTTTGAAGAAGAAAAATAATCTAAAAAATGTAATAGTTGTTTTGAGAAGGTAAGGATGTTCTAACAGATTGAGAGACCTGCTAGTGTTTATTAATTTAATTTGGTCTTTATCACACTTTGTCAGCAATCAATGTGAAATTCTAGAATTATTTCCCGCTAGAGGTAGGTATAAAGTCGTGCTTTTCTCATTTTTCTGAGTCAGTTTTATGATCCTCCTCATCAAACCTTGTAAATGCCTCTGCTTTGAGTGTCTCAGGGGCACAGTATCCTCATCTATTGTCCTGTCTACTGAAAGTACTGAAAACAATTCACCCTGTCTTACAGCTTTAAGTGTTGATGCTGTTTCGTATTCATGACAAAACCTAAAGGAAAAAAATGTAAAGCTTTGATGTCTGAGGATAATGCTAGCATAGTATCGTCACATACACACACGTCTAAATTTCTTTTATGTACATTTATTATTAAGTTCAATATTCCTACTGTGTACCTTATTTGAGTGAGAGTTAGCTGGGGGGAATGGGGAGATGTAGCTATAGCCATTTAAATGACACTAAAGGGGTGCTGTCTTATTTCTAAATACATTTTGTATAATAAACAATCTGACTTAGTTCCTGATGTTACTGCCTATGTTACCAAAAATAACATATACAGGTAGGGTTATTAGGCCAAACCAAAACTGGCTGTGTGTTCCCATTCCTGACAGTCCCTATGTTTTACCTGACCTGTCCTAAAACATTGTGTTCCCATTCCTGACAGTCCCTATGTTTTACCTATATTTTACCTATGTTTTACCTGAACTGTCCTAAAACATTTTGTTCACACAAAAATATCAAGGGAAGCTCCAGTATTACACTTTTTCAGTTTCCGGTTTTGGTTTCTTTCATGGGAATGTCGGACACAAACTGTTTTACCAGTGTTAAAAGGTTTGCCATGCTCAAAAAATGGAATGTATATTTGAAAGATTTTGTACGATAATTATGTACATGTGCAAAAGTAAGATTGCTTTCGTTCAGGAATTTTTTTTTATGAAAAATATCAAATGCTTTCCCTGCCAACCAGAACTCGAACAGGAAATGACAAAAACTTTGTGTGGTCTTTTGGGTACAATTCATTAAACATACACATATCCTGACAGCTTTACATCTTTCTGTTTCTTTATTTAGAATGTATCTTAATTAATGGCACATTTCCATTTAGTTAATTTATAAAAGCCAAAAAATGTTACAAATAACCTGACTAACAAAGCGTATGGAGATGATGCCCCAATATGTGTTGAAAGCCCTTTATACAGAACAATCACCATTAAAGTCAATTTGAAGCTGTACAATCTGTCAAAGGGCCTCTTCCTCTCCACTGACTTGTAGTAGGTGTGTTAAATAACAAGTCAAAATAAAGTTGTTTATCTGCAGATTTGTTTCTCAACAGATAACACAATGATATTTTTGTTAACTTAGTATTTCAAAATATACTTAGTTGTAACTTACATGTTAAAAAGTAGCCAGATGATAATACACTGTAATTTGATACCATACTGTAACTTTAATTTGAATTTTATGTGATCAGATGTTAAAACTCTGCAACAAAATCAAAATACACTGCAACTAATTCAAAAAACAATGTAAAGAATGGTAGTATACATTGTACCTGGATCAGCATTACACTTCATGATCAGCTAAAGTTATTAAAAATGTACTGTAGCAATAACAAGTATTTGAACCAGGTAACAGTAGAGCTAGGCTCGTAAAGCTTGGAACTAGGCCAGGTTAATGTAATCCTGAAACTTAGGTCATATAAACTGTAACCATGGTAACATTTATTGTGACTGAGGTCATATGCACTGTAACCATGGTAACATTTATTGTAACTGAGGTCGTATACAATGTAACATGGTAACATTTATTGTAACTGAGGTTGTATACAATGTAACGTGGTAACATTTAATGTAACTGAGGTCATATACACTGTAACCATGGTAACATTTATTGTAACTGAGGTCGTATACAATGTAACCTGGTAACATTTATTGTAACTGAGGTCATGAACAATGGTACATTTAATGTAACTGAGGTCATGTACAATGGTACATTTAATGTAACTGAGGTTGTGTACAATGGTACATTTATTGAAACTGAGGTCGTGTACAATGGTACATTTAATGTAACTGAGGTCGTGTACAATAGTACATTTAATGTAACTGAGGTTGTGTACAATGGTACATTTAATGTAACTGAGGTCGTGTACAATGGTACATTAAATGTAACTGAGGTCATATACACTGTAACCATGGTAACATTTAATGACACTGAGGTCGTGTACAATGGTACATTTAATGTAACTGAGGTTGTGTACAATGGTATATTTAATGTAACTGAGGTCATATTAGTGTTACCATTGTAACAATTAATGTAACTGAGGTTGTATACAATTGTACATTAAATGTAACTGAGGTCGTGTACAATGGTACATTTATTGAAACTGAGGTCGTGTACAATGGTACATTTAATGTAACTGAGGTCGTGTACAATGGTACATTTATTGTAACTGAGGTCATGTACAAGGGTACATTTAATGTAACTGAGGTTGTGTACAATGGTACATTTAATGTAACTGAGGTCATATTAGTGTTACCATTGTAACAATTAATGTAACTGAGGTTGTGTACAATGGTACATTAAATGTAACTTAGGTCATATACACTGTAACCATGGTAACATTTAATGTAACTGAGGTGGTGTATACTGTAACCATGGTAACATTTAATGTAACTGAGGCCGTATACACTGTAATAATAGTAACATGTAATGTTACTGAAGTCGTATACACTGTAACCATGGTAACATTTAATGTTACTGAGGTCGTTTACACTGTTACCATAGTAAAATTTAATATAACTGAGGTGGTCTACACTGTTACCATGGTAACATTTAAAATAACTGAGGTGGTATACACTGTAACCATGGTAACATTTAATGTTACTTAGGTCACACATACTGTAACCTTGCATGGTTACAAATAATGTGAATGAGGGCATAGTCACTGTAACCATGGTAACATATAGTGTTACTTAGGTCACCTTTACTGTTACCATGGTGACATATAATGTTACTTAGGTACTTATTTACCTGTAGTGTGGTAAGTACACAGGAGATAGTACACAGTGTATAGGCAGGTTGTGTACTTCATTGCCCTTATTACTCTAGAGAAAGGCAATGTGTTACTTAGTGTTTATCACCCAAATATGATTTTCAAATGTATTTTTGTTGTTTATTCAAGCTACCATGATGAGAATCACCAAAATATCCTTAACTCCATGTGGCTGATTTCCATCACCTTCCTGTCCGTGGGCTATGGGGATATCGTACCAAACACATATTGTGGCCGGGCCATAGCTATAGCGACAGGGGTTATGGTAAGTATAGCTGGGCGATACACTGATAGCTATAGTGACAGGGGTTATGGTAAGTATAGCTGGGTCATACACTGATAGCTATAGCGACAGGGGTTATGGTAAGTATAGCTGGGCCATACACTGGTAGCTATAGCGACAGGGGTTATGGTAAGTATAGCTGGGCCATACACTGATAGCTATAGCGACAGGGGTTATGGTAAGTATAGCTGGGCCATACACTGATAGCTATAGCGACAGGGGTTATGGTAAGTATAGCTGGGCCATACACTGATAGCTATAGCGACAGGGGTTATGGTAAGTATAGCTGGGCCATACACTGATAGCTATAGCGACAGGGGTTATGGTAAGTAAAGCTGGGCCATACACTGATAGCTATAGCGACAGGGGTTATGGTAAGTATAGCTGGGCCATAGCTATAGCGACAGGGGTTATGGTAAGTATAGCTGGGCCATATACTGATAGCTATAGCGACAGGGGTTATGGTGAGAATAGCTGGGCCATACACTGATAGCTATAGCGACAGGGGTTATATGGTGAGAATATCTTGGTTCAGAATTATTCTGCTCAATCTGGGACATACACCTGTAACATAACATTATGGTAAGTATAATTTGGGCCATTTACTGATAGCTACAGCCACAGGGGCTATTGTGAGTGTATTGGCGAATAGCAAAGTTCTTCTTAAACTTAGGTGAGGTGAGTGTGTGTGGGTAGGACAAAATTTACTAAATGGGCCATATACTGTAGCTACAGTGACAAGACTTAAGGTCCATATATATGGAAATATTCTACTGAATGAGCCATTTATACTAAAAGAACCATATAATGATAGGATTTACGGTGAGGTATGTCTGGGTACGCAATATTGCACTATTACTGTCTTGTGTGCATTGCGTCTTGTGTGCATTGCGGTATGGAATTCACCTGATCACATGTAAGGAGACACTGGCCTGTCTTCAGTACAACGGTCAATAATGGTAAAGGAATCGGATTACGGCTAGTTATCCTAGAGAGCGGCACGAGACCACGCAAGGAGGCCTCAATACTGGTGTATGGGAGTAGGAGCATTGATGGGGGGCTGTAATCAGATTCAGGCAGTGCTGGCGAATCGTCTGATCCCCTTGCTTCCATAACTGTAATGCACATGCAAGCCAAATACCATATCACTATCTCTTTTTCCAGGTCTCCTTTCAACCTTCAATTGTTGATTCTCCAGGCCTCGTCACTTTTGAGCAAATAAAATCTTGACTATTGTAAATTAAGACTTTGTATAAATAGTTTTCCGAAATGATAACATTATTCAAAAATATTTCTGTTATTATCATGTGATCAATATGGCAATAATGTCCATTCAAACCTTGTATATGTGTTCTAAACTGTAGTCCATATTTCACACAAACAAATTTTGTTTTATAATTTTGAACCGGAGAAAACTTTTTGTTTCAGTTTTGTCAAATTCAACAAAGTATTTAAATAATCAAATTTAATGATGTGATCTCCATCAGAAAATCTGCTAAACCTCATTGAAATTTTACATAGTAATACATGACCATGACCTCAGGCCTTTATTAAGGCCTTTCACTGTAAAATGACCTTGACCTTTGGTTGCCAGGGAGCGGGTTGTACAGCCTTAGTGGTAGCAGTCATGGCCAGAAAGCTGGAACTGAGCCGGGCAGAAAAACATGTACACAATTTTATGATGGACACACAGCTCACAAAGAGGGTAAGATAACATGAAATTTATTAACTTGATCAGTATTGTTTACTTTGTATTTTTTTTGATAGGTCCCTTTCAATCCCGTAACTTAGTTAGCCTTCTAAATATCTAGCTTAATTAATCCCTAACTCTGCCTCATGTCTAAAATAAATTACAAAGATCCCTTATTTAATGTCTCAACTGAACCCCTTACTTGATCTCATGATTAACTTATTTTAATATCTCCCTGCATCATATTAATAGTTTACCCTTTCTATGTAATACTACTAAAACAATGCTATAGTTCTCCCTATTGGTACCTCGCCACTCACACCCTCAAGTCATGTGACATCCTGATGCTGAGGAACAAACAATCAGAATAAATATAAATCTATATTCAATATATACCCACTTTGAACTATTAAAAGTATGGTGTGTATATCATAAATTGATCTTGTAGCTGTTGCAGGCACTTAAAACCCTAACAAACGGAACCATATAGCTTTATATAAATTATTTACGCTTATTAAACAAGTGGATTTCTGCGGTTGTGTGTCGCAAATGTACCCGGGGAATATAGCTACCATACGACCATTGTGAACAAAACCATCACCGATCAACATAATTGACACTATTTCGGAGTGATAATTTAACCAAATAACGTTGAATTCATCTTTTATCCATGATATGTTTACATGATACAGCAAGGTTGAGTGTTAGTGCCCTGTGAGGATCATTGGTGCTGATATGAATTATTCATTAATGTGGGTAGAAATACCTTGTTAAGGACAAGCCAAGCTCGGTCGGTGTGGATTACTTGGTATTTATTCGAAAAACAATGAAAAGACATTGTTTACTGTAAAAATCAATCTAAAATTCGTTTTGTATTTTTAGGTCTCTGCATTTAGATTTTAGTACATGTATGTATATTTCACCTAATTTAGAAAATTCTGTCGGGGAAATTTAAATCAACAATTTATTTTTTCATTAACCTAGAAGCTATGACAAACTGGGGTGGACTTTGATCTGATACAGACTTAATAGCTTTTGATTTGATAAACTTGACATTTTAAACACTGTTTATTTACAGAAATAAAGTGCAAATAGAGATTATTTTTTAAATTAGTTTAGCTGCAGTTTCCTGATCCCCATCCAATCTTGTGTCTGACTTAGATAAAATATTGGAAAAAAAAACGTATAAATTACTTGGCAAGGCCTCACCAACACTGGTAATATTGTGGATCCTTTTCAGCATCATTCCATCGCCATGACAACATCAATACTCTAAGCTTTTCCTGTGACAGCACTGGCACGCTGAATATCTATTGCATGTACCAGCAGAAAAAATATATAATCTGGGGAATTTTTGGTTGAATTTCACATTTTACATATGTTATTCAAAATTTCATCATGAAATTTTAAAAACAAATATGATGATTGAAATTGATTTTAGCTATCTGACACAAGTGTTGATTGTAAACAGAATCAATTCAATATCAATAGAATGCTTGCAGGTAATTTTATAATGTCCCCGTTTTGTAGTTGACAAGTGACTGTAAATATAAAATTTAATTTAACTTAAAATTTAAATCAAATCCCTGACATTTGTGTGTAGATCTGATACCAAGTCATTGGTTTTATACAATGATTCAGGTCAGTGTTATGAGAAGAGCTCTGTGATGGTAGCTACTTTCAGGCAGACTATAAATGTTCCTGCTTTGTATCCATGAATGCTGATGCAACCAAACTTTTTCAATTAAATATTTTTACGGACAACGAAAAGTTCTATTTCAATTTTCTGCTGCTACTTGCTAAATGTATTTGAAATCACATTTGATCCCAATCTGAAGATACATCGACATTATCTAATTATTTAATGATTTGGTAATTGAAGGAGTTGTCTGTCTCCTTTTTCAATATTTATATAGCTATTTTCTGTGAAAATATTAATCATATGCAATTAGGAAAGATATACCTTTGCTGCAGATATCAGTATCCTGAAGTTCATAAACCTCCGTTTCTTTATCCTCTGTTGAATATTAAAAACTCTCAGATCATTGTATAAACATGCAGACTGTTGAGTAAATATTAGTGATACACCACACGTAGTATATGACCTTCCATAGTTTTGATTGGTCAAGAAGATGAACTTTGACCGACATTTTTTTTCACACGCCTTTTACCGCGTGCTGTTTTGTTTACGTCGTCTGCTGTCAACATCCCGCAAATGTTGGTGACTTCTGTGAGGTAATGCGATGGAAAAGGGGGGTCATTAAGGCAATACCAAAAGAAGATGATGCTTAAAGATTTGATCGCTAGTTTCAGGCAAAATTGCAACAGACGCTCGATATCGTTTCGACGCCATACCGCCGCGTGTCCAGGTCGTGAAACCCAGAGACGTATCAATAATATATGTCTCTGTGAAACCGAAACAAGATCTGTAACTGTGTCCGAAAATATTTCGTTCTCCACTTGTCCAGTCATCAATATTTGGAGGGCCTGTCTATGGCGGAACTCTCACTGTAAACATCAACCATAGAACCTCACGAATATGGTTTTGGACATTGATAGCGATTAGTTCGTTTTCATCACTTGGCGGGAGGCAGACTTCGTTAGATATGCTTATGCGCATATAGTCTGTGGTTAATTTATATTAATTAATGCAATATTGCCTACTCTCAATATTTAAAGTCTTTCATCTATTTTATTTTTTCACAAAGTTGTTGCCGAAACATTAATTTTGAAAATTAATAAATTTGTAAAAAAAAAAGTCTTTTTTGAATATTAATGAGTGACTTTTTACGTATGGGTCATATCACTACGCCAGCCTAATGTCAACACAATGTGTGTATGCGGTTTCCGACTGAGATTGTGGTAGAAACAGATCACACGACTTGTGGTTGTTGAGTATGGTGTTTATTTCACTCTCGTAAGTTATTTTTCAAAAGTTACAGAAAGACACTCGCTAAAGCTCGTGTCTTTTGTAACTTTTGAAAATTAACTAACTCGAGTGAAATAAATACCATATTTAACAACCACTCGTTGGGTAACCTCTATTTACCCTACAAAGACGTATCATATACTGTAGCTATATATATTTACCTGACAAGGCCATATTTCCTTTTTAAAAACAACATTATCACATTCTGCCATCTCAAAATTTCACTCCACTGATTTCCATTCTATCAGAAATCATAAACCTAATTTCTCTCAAATTATCTCCAGTAAAAAAACAGTGCTTTGTTCCTTTCAAAGTTAATTTTTCATCTGGTAAATATCTGATGCCAGTTTTTATTCTATAAATGGATGGTTACTCTCAGTATAGCTTGTTTCCTCTGTCTAGATCGTGCTAAAGGGTAGCTATTGTCAGCAGGGTTGGTCAGGGTTGTAATTAATCAATATATTATAAATACATGTATCTACCGACAGAACAGAACCAGGAGTGTTTATATTTACTACATTAACACACAAAATACAGAACCAGGAGTGTTTATATTTACTACATTAACACACACAGTACAGAACCAGGAGTGTTTATATTTTATTATTACACCTCTACTTTATTTACTCTATATAAAAGTAATTGGTTAAATCGAATATATCCCCACTTTTGCCTGAGTGTGTTTTAGTCCTGTGTGTTAGTCTGTGAACTAAAACACACCTACACTCGGGTGTTTCCGCCGAGCCAATCAGGCGAGAGGTGGGCGGAGCTTGTTACCGAACTCGACAGTGACGCGCGAGGCGGGCGGAGCTTGCTGCCGAACTCCGAAGCATTTGGCTCCATTGCCATCAAAGGGGTAGCTGGGACGTGAGGCTATACAGCTTATGGTTTACAAATATTTTCAAGTTAAAACTATCTCTGCAGTGTGTATCGGTATAATAAAATTAACGTATGGGGTTGCTGCCGAACTCGTAAGCATTTGGCTCCATTGCCATCAAAAGAGTATTTGGGACGTGAAGCTATACAGCTTATGGTTTACAAATATTTTCTAGTTAAAACTATCTCTCCAGTGTGTATTGGTATAATAAAACGGTTAAAGTATGGGGTTGAGGCATATATAGCAAGTTTCTGGTGTCCCTTGACCATGCCTATTTCCCTCGGCTTCGCCTCGGGAAATAGACCTGGTCTTGGGACACCAGAAACTTGCTATATCCCTCAACCCCATACTCTAACTGTATACTACATTAACACACACAGTACAGAACCAGGGAGTGTTTATATTTACTACATTAATACACACACATACTTTTATCATATTCAATGACAGCTTAACGCCTTCCAGCTATCAAGTTTTTTCAAAAAATAACTACCGGTAAACATTTCCAGTTGAGAATCTAACTGAGGCACATGATTTTTGTAGAGTAATCTCCCTTACTCAATTTCTAACAGCTCAGAACTGCCTGTAGTTATCAATGCTTGTTTTCTTGTGTTTTATCAACTGATTATTCCAACTTCAAATTATGATTTTTTGAAAGACATTTTTACAGGTTTCTGAGTGTGGAACTCGCTAGGCAGAAGGTGTGTGTTTCTGTGAGATGGCGTATATAATCAAGGTTACCTGAGCCCACCCTAATTATCTTTATTTTTATGAATTTTAGATGAAAAATGCTGCAGCCAATGTTTTACGAGAGACTTGGCTTATTTACAAATACACCAAACTCGTTAAGAAGGTAGATGGTAGTAAGGTGCGCGCTCACCAGAGGAAATTTCTTCAAGCTATCCATTCGTAAGTATGAGGACAGAGCGATTTCTTGGATCAAAATCTTATACAGACATTTTTGGAGTTTCTTTTCTGTTTTCTATAATAAATTTGTGAATTTAAAACGTAAAATTTTATTAAATAATGACGTTGCCAATATGTTTTAGATGGAATGATAAATTTATTAAAATATATTTTGAAAGTGAAAGAATTCTTTCCTTATCAGATTTTGATTGTGAAATCAGAATAAAAAAATTACTACATCTTGTGACTGAAATCATTGAATACTCTATGAGAGTAAAATAGTTAACTAAACTATTTTCCATATGATGTTTTTATAGTGAAGCAAACATGTTACACAATATTTTTATTATAGAGTTTTCTGAAAAATTCATTTAATTTCTGAACCCATGAATTTCATCATTTTAAGTTTCAACTTTGAACTTATTTAGGACTTAGAGCTAAGCGCAACCATCCAATTTCAGGCTCCGAAAAATCAAGATGGGTCAGAGGAAATTACTAGAAAACCAGAATACACTCGTGGACATGGCAAAGGTAATTCCCGAAAACAGACGACATAACGGTCAGAGGTTTTAATTAAAAATCAACTTTTTCCAAAAATTCATCTTTCTGTTAATGTGCATGAATGGGTCACAAACTGTTTAATTTATACACCTGATTAATGTTAATGATTCAATTAATGAGTTTTTTTAAACATGTTTGTACAATCTTCACGAAATGCGAGCACATGCACAAAGTTTTACTGTTGCGTGATTGTGATGATAAGAGACATGATTGAGGCTCAAAGATGTCCTCGTGCTGATGGTTAGTGTTTTATTTGGATTGTATATACATTTTCTATTAGACAATTCTTTGTTTATAAGTTTACATGTGTATTAGCACGATACATCATGTGCCAAAATGGTTTGATGACACGACGGTGGCATATTTTGGAACAATTTTGATGTTGTCAAAAGTCTTGTATGTAATCTTATGAACCCCCCTCTTTGTCTGTATAGCCATCTCTCCTCCACAATGTGGAATCGTTGCTTCATCAACGCCACTTAGTTCAACACAGAGCTCTTATTTTACTAGAATAATGATAATTTAGTTGTTATTCCAATCAACCAAATTGTTTTGCACCTATTCAGCAAGGCTGATAGTTTATATTAAATCCAGTTAAAAAAATCTTTTAAGAGTCATTTATGATGTTTGAAGTGCTGGGGTGGGGAAGTTTTAGAAATGTTTGATAAGGTTATGTCATGGAGATTGGAGAGTTGTCGACATGGAGGACATTGATGGCACGACAAAGGGAGGTAACAAATGACACATAGGGGTAATGAACAGTGAATATTGAAATGGAGGGGTGACAAAGGAGGTTGAAGAAAGGGGGTAAAGGAGGTCATGAAAAGGGGCAAAGTAGGTCAAGGAAGGGTTGCAAAGGAGGTTGAAAGAAGAGGACAAAGTAGGTCAAGGAAGGGTTGCAAAGGAGGTTGAAGGACGGGTGGCAGAGGAGGTTGAAGGAAGGTTGACAAAGGAGGTCAAGGGAGGGGGAAAAGGAGGTCAAGGAAGGTTGACCCAGGAGGTCAAGGAATCACTGACAAAGGAGATCAAGGAAGAGGGCAAAGGAGGTCAAGGAAAGATGATCTAGGAGGTCAAGGAAGGGAAGCAAAGGAGGTCAAGGAAGGGGGCAAAGGAGGTCAAGGAAAGATGATCTAGGAGGTCAAGGAAGGGGGCAAAGGAGGTCAAGGAAAGATGATCTAGGAGGTCAAGGAAGGGGGCAAAGGAGATCAAGGAAGGGAAGCAAAGGAGGTCAAGGAAGGGAAGCAAGGGAGGTTAAAGGAAGGCAGTCAATTGAAGGAAGGGTGACAAAGGATTCTAGAGTTAACAAATGGAAAGATATGAAGGGAGGGGGGGGGGGGGACAAAAAAAGCCTTAACCAGGGCTGGGGTTATGGTAGAGACATTAACCAGGGATGGGGATATGGTAGTGACATTGACCAGGGCTGGGGTTATGGTAGTGAGATTTACCAGGGCTGGGGTTATGGTAGAGACATTTACCAGGGCTGGGATATAGTAGTGACATATTAACCAGGGCTGGGGTTATGGTAGAGTCATTGACCAGGGCTGGGGTTATGGTAGTGACATTAACCAGGGCTGGGGATATGGTAGAGACATTAACCAGGGCTGGGGATATGGTAGTGACATTTACCAGGGCTGGGATTATGGTAGTGACATTTACCAGGGCTGGGGATATAGTAGTGACATATTAACCAGGGCTGGGGTTATGGTAGTGACATTTACCAGGGCTGGGATATAGTAGTGACATTAACCAGGGCTGGGGTTATGGTAGTGACATTAACCAGGGCTGGGGTTATGGTAGTGACATTTACCAGGGCTGGGATATAGTAGTGACATTAACCAGGGATGGGGTTATGGTAGTGACATTAACCAGGGCTAGGGATATGGCAGTGACATTAACCAGGGCTGGGGTTATGGTAGAGACATTAACCAGGGCTGGGGTTATGGTAGTAACATTAACCAGGGCTGGGGATATGGTAGAGACATTAACCAGGGCTGGGGTTATGGTAGAGACATTAACCAGGGCTAGGGATATGGTAGTGACATTTACCAGGGCTGGGGTTATGGTAGTGACATTTACCAGGGCGGGGATATAGTAGTGACATTAACCAGGGCTGGGGTTATGGTAGAGACATTAACCAGGGCTGGGGTTATGGTAGAGACATTAACCAGGGCTGGGGTTATGGTAGAGACATTAACCAGGGCTGGGGGTATGGTAGTGACATTAACCAGGGCTGGGGTTATGGTAGTGACATTTACCAGGGCTGAGGTTATGGTAGTGACATTTACCAGGGCTGGGGATATGGTAGTGACATTTACTAGGGGAATGGTGCTGTTTGTAAAACAGGGGGACATATAATATTCCTCAAGGAAAGGGCAAAAGAGGTTGGAGAAATGGAAGAAATTGAAAGAATCTGGTAATGAATGATTGATGAAAAGGACAGGAACAAAGATGGATTGTGTACGGTTATAACAAACCTAGAACTTCACATTGTGTATATAGTATATATATTTACCTTATGTAAGTCGTAACAAATTCAAAATCCTAATGAGGATACAATTATAAAATACAAACATTTGATAAGCTAATATTTTGTCACTCCCCCTTCCTCATCAAACAATGGCAATGCCTAAGATTCATACCCTTCCAGCATGAATTTGTCTCAAGATCCGTCAATATATCAGGCTTTGAGTTTTTGGCTAATTCATACTCAAAACAAAGGAAGCTTAAGCTTACTCGGTAAAGGAAAGGGTTCCTCGATGGTGATTTAAATATATCTCTGTGTTCATTCAAGCTTATCTCTAAAATATTGTTTTCTCAGCAAGATATTTTAACTGTCCCTTATCGTTTATCGCGGTGAACGTTCATAATATCATCACCGAAAAATGCTTTAAAACTAGAACATTTATTACGAAAATATCAGGAAATCAATCCAACAATTATGTCCCCGAACTTCAAATTCAATAATATTCTTTGGAGCTTGCCATATGACCTTTCAACCAATCAATTGGTTGGTTTATCTCATTTAGATACTACAATATATTATTGTGTCCGTGACTTCTTCAAAATGTTAACACACTCCTCTACTTATTACCCATAATGCTTTGTAGTAAAGCGTGGCAGCCATCTTGACATGCACATCATGACAAAATAAAATTCTGTTCCCTTAAAAAAGACCGGTTCCCAGCACACAAAAGTATTTGATGCATAGAAGATTGTTCTGAAATCCATTTAGAAAAAATAAAATCCTCTATGATTATTTTAAGTCTGCTTTTATTGTTAAGATACAGACCCATGCTAACTGAACCCATAAAAAAACAGATAATAAAATAAATAAAATAAAACATTCAAAAGATATTTTACTGTAGACAGTCTTTTGAATAAAATTTGAATTGTTTTTTTCCATAGTCATACTGGTGTATTTATTAAAATAAAAAAATCAATAACTTTAAATAAACTCAGTGTATGCAATCTTCAATGAAAACAAGCATAAAATTTAAAGACCAAATAGGAATCAATCTTATTTGTTATGATCTCGAGGGAAACAACCTAGTTTACTAGAACAAAAACCATGGCGATGATAAAATAAATTCAGCATCAGCTTGTAACCATAGCTGTGACGCGTATTACAAGATTGTGTAAATAGGTTTTAGTGAGTTCTGCAGAGCAGGGGACCTGTCTGTGTATTCTGTTAGCTCACCCAACACTTACCATCGATGTTTCCTTTCCTTTTCCGTTGTAGAACGTAGGGATGGCAGGGCTGGACTCCATGCCTAGTTGCTATATCTCCATACCCCATGTTCAGTACCAGCAGGTTTGAAATACAATTTCATCATCAGCATCTTGTTTGTGTGCTAGCTGTCTTATTTATACACTCCGTATACTCCCACCGTCGACCACTGCGGGCATGGCTGGTGACAGTGTCGTCACGCATGACTTATATCTAGTAGATTTCAGTATTTTGTTGGTATTATTATTTTCATTGTTATATTTTTTCGTGGACTGCCTTCTATTTCAGTTTCAAGCAACTGTGTGTAGATTTCTTTCGTTTGTTATTGTTTTATTTTATTTAGCTAGCATGGAATTTGGTGGATTGCTTGAAGGAACCTCTAAAATCAACATCTTTTCCTCTGTAGCTGGAAGTGTATTGGCTGTGATGCTGTAATCTGTTTATGCTCCTCTAGCGTGTGGTGTACATGTGTGCAATAGTTACTGCAGACCAACTCACATCAGCCCGTCAATGGGCTATGGCATTTATCTCCCCTTGAGAAGTTGCACCATTGTGGCAGTGTGGCAAAGGAAATACAAGTGCTGCAGTTATTTCCCTGACGTATCATAGTCACATTTTATTTGGTTCAATATTAATGTAATGAAACGAAATGATTTTCTGGAACTAATACTTCAGGTTTTGGTTTTCATTCCAAAATAATAAAAGTTTGACAAGTACACCACAAAATTATTTCCATTTCTGCTGCAATCATGCTCTAAACTTTCCCTGTAGAAATTATTCTTATTATCTTAGCTTGACCAAAACTGCTTTACACAGATAGATGGCATCAGTTACTCGGAAGGCACTTTTTAGCTGATATAGGGGACTTGAAGGCTACCTACCAATAATAGAACTCTAAGAATTGTTGACTCTAACTAACAAATTATAAATTTCTTTAAAAAAAAAATCAGAAGGGCCATGAATGATTATATAAAAACTGTATTAAAGTCTATATGATATATATTCCCTCATGCTAATGTTATTTTGAATTTCAACATTAAATTATTGTTAACAGTAATTTTGTTCCTCATTAAATAATCATCAAAGAGATTTCCCAGAGAATTCTGTCCAGGATGTGCTGTTTTTGCTAATGTATCTGAAATGTTTAAAAGTTTTAATAAAGTTTTGATTTCCCCATCTGTTAAAGGACTAGCTAATATCTTGATTTTACGGTGTTCATCTGTAAAAACAGAATTATAGGGTCATTGAATGTAAATGAAGTCAAGATAAAAGCTTATGTAAGAAATTGAAGTAGAATTTATTATCTCATTGGGAAAGAATACTGGATTACTTCCCCTGATCACTACTGTGGCCTGATTGTACCGTATCAGTCACAATAAACCAATATCTCACAGATATTGATCAAATGATTTGTCATTCAATTAATGTTTACAATAACCATTGTTCTTGTCAGATTTCAAGTAGTTGCTAAACATCACCAACTCTTATAAGATAACACTGCACCAAGAAACATTGATCTTCCTTTTAGATAATAGATCTAACAGTGCAAAATCATTTTTAAAAAATAGCAAAGGGAAATTAGTCAAAGGGAGATAATCCAATAAGTAATATTCAGTATGGTTTTATGGATTACACAATTATTAGTGTGCATTCCTTTTTATCATAGACATTTAATACAGCTTTGTATATTGTCTGTATCCCCATGTATATATATTTATGTATTTTACCATGTGTATACCTCATATGTATGGCTAAATATAATACCATTCCCATTTGAAGTTCTGTAGTTACTGTTTTTGTACAGATTTTTAATATTTATTTTAATATTTGTCTTTATTCTCCTTTTAGTTATAATAAAATTTATGAGGTTTTTTTTAATTACAAGAAGTAGGCATTAAGCAAATGTTGGAATACGAACATTTCCTCACCATTAATGAATTTTTTCGTTTAAAGCTTGCAGTCATAAAACTTCAGTAGTGGATATTGAAAACAACAAATTTTAGCTTTAATTTGAAACAGGAAGTTTATCATCATTGACAGGAACTGATTATTATGAAGCTTTGATTGTCCAAGTACATTTTTTCACAGGATTGTTATATAGTTATATATAGCTGGATTGTAATATAGCTGGATTATATATAGCTGGATTATATATAGCTGGATTGTTATATATCTGGATTATACATAGCAGGATTTTTATATAACTGGATTATGTATAGCTGGATTGTTATATAACTGGATTATATATTGCTGGATTGTTATATAACTGGATTATATATAGTTGGATTGTTATATAGCTGGATTATATATAGTTGGATTGTTGTATAGCTTGATTATATATAGCTGGATTGTTATATATCTGGATTATGCATAGCAGGATTTTTATATAACTGGATTATACATAGCTGGATTGTTATATAACTGGATTATATATTGCTGGATTGTTATATAAATGGATTATATATAGTTGGATTGTTATATAGCTGGATTGTTATATAACTGGATTATTCTATAGCTGGATTATATATTGCTGCATTATTATGTAACTGGATTTATTTTTAGCTGAATTATTATATGGCTTGTGATGTAGTTGAATTATTATATAGCTGGAGTTTTATATAGCTGGAAGTATTATATGTCTGGATTATGTATAGCTGGAGTATTATATAGCTGAAGTATTTATTATATTGCTTGATTATATATAGCTGGATATTATATAGCTAGATTATTATATAGTTGGAGTATTATATAGCTGGATTATAATAAAGTTGATTTTGTTTAGGGCTGGAACATATGGCTGGATTATATATAGTTGGGGAATTAAATGGCTGGATTATTAGGTAACTGGATTATTATAAAGTTGAATTATTATATGGCTGGACTATATATATCTGGATTATTAATAGCTGGATTAGTATATAGTTGAATTTTTATATGGCTGGAGTATTATAGGGCTGGATTATATATAACTTTATTATATATATCTTGATTAAAGCTTGATTATAGCTTGATGATATATAGCTGGAGTATTATATAGCTGGAGTATTAAATGGATGAATCGTTATGTAGCTGGATTATTATATAGTTGAATTATTAACTCACATGGCCATGGTGCGGCGTCTGTCGTCCATCCGTTGTCCTATGGCAGCCAGCGTCAATATTTTGCTTTAAACAACTTTTTCTGAATAAACGAAAGGCCTAGGGTGATGATATTTGGCCAGAAGCAAAATGTAATAAAGGGCTCCAAAGTTTGTTCAAATAAATGACTTTCACCCATTTTCAAGGTCACAGGTGTCAAATAGGTAAAAAAAACTTTAAACATTTTCTTCTGAATAACCAAAATGCCCAGGGAGATGATATTTGGCCACTAGCATGCTTGAGTGAAGGGCTACCAAGTTTGTTCAATTGAATGACCTTCATTTATATTCAAGGTCACGGGTCAATTGTCTTAAAAAACCTTTAAACAACTTCTTCTGAATAACCAAAATGCCTAGGGTGATGATATTTGCTCAGAAGCATACTGAGATGAAGAGCTACCAATTTTGTTCAAATGAATGACCTTCACTGATATTCAAGGTCACAGAGGTCAATTGTTAAAAAAGACCTTTAAACAACTTCTTCTGAATAACCAAAATGCCTAGGGTGATGATTTTTAGTCAGTAGCATACTAGGATGAAGGGCTACCAAGTTTGTTCAAATGAACGACCTTGACTGATATTCAAGGTTTCAGTGATCAAATATGTTTTAAACCTATAAACGACTTCGTTTCAATAGTCAAAAGGCCAAGGGTGATGATATTTGGCCATTTACATGCTGGGTTAAAGGAATACCAAGTTTGTTCAAATGAATGACCTTGGCCCATATTCAAGGTCACAGTGGTCATTATATGTTTAAATCTTCAAATGACTTTTTCTGTATAACCAAAAGGTCCAGGGTAATTTTGCCAAAAGCATGCTGGGTTGGAAGACTATAAACTTTGTTCAACCTAATGTCCTTGTTCAACATTCAAGGTCACGGGCGTCATATGTTTAAATCCTTTAATAGGTTCTTATGAATCAAACACTGGTATTCTGCCTGTAGCTGTATTTTAGTCCTCTTTGAAGATAACAAGTGTGAGATTAAAACCAGGTGAGCGATTCAGGCCCATTGGGCCTATTTTTATACAGCTGGAGTATTATATGGCTGGACTATATATAGCTTGATTATTTATAGATGGATTAGTATATAGTTGGATTGTTATGTAGCTGGAGTATTTTATGTCTGGATAACTAGGTGATTATTTATGAAGAGGACCTGTTCTCTTGACACAGACTGGGTAGGGGGTTCAACCAGATTATTGATGACAAGATAAGTCAATTTTAATTGTAGTCCTCATCATACTAAAAAAATCATTTAGATTACTTTATAGCAAAGGAGGTGATGGTTTAGTCTGTATTGGGGAATCAGAGAGGTGATGGTTTAGTCTGTATTGAGGAATCACAGAGGTGATGGTTTAGTATGTATTGGGGAATCAGAGAGGTGATGGTTTAGTATGTATTGGGGAATTAGAGAGGTGGTGGTTTAGTCTGTATTGGGGAATCAGAGAGGGGATGGTTTAGTATGTATTGGGGAATTAGAGAGGGGATGGTTTAGTCTGTATTGGGGAATCAGAGAGGGGATGGTTTAGTATGTATTGGGGAATTAGAGAGGTGCTGGTTTAGTCTGTATTGGGGAATCAGAGAGGTGATGGTTTAGTATGTATTGGGGAATTAGAGAGGTGATGGTTTAGTCTGTATTGAGGAATCAGAGAGGGGATGATTTAGTCTGTATTGAGGAATCAGAGAGGTGATGGTTTAGTATGTATTGGGGAATTAGAGAGGTGATGGTTTAGTCTGTATTGGGGAATCAGAGAGGGGATGATTTAGTCTGTATTGAGGAATCAGAGAGGTGATGGTTTAGTCTGTATTGGGAATCAGAGAGCAGGCAAGAACGAACTGCAGTATTTTATTTAACTTTCCAAATTTCAAAGAGAAACCAACATGGATGTTTGCAAAGAATATGAGTTTTTGAAAATTATTGGATAGCATCTGTTATGATGAAGTTTCTATCAATCTACATGTAAGTAACATATTATTGAATAGCTACTGGCATCTATGTCTAAGATATCGAGTGGTATGCCGTATAATGGTAACCAAGTCACAGCTGAGATTGTACCGTCCTGAAAGAATGCACAGTTTTTAAAGCTTAGAGGGATGACGATGCCTGTTTGTACAAATCGCTTTTTTAATATGCACGTGCAATTCCTATTTTTACCTGAACATATTGACTAGCTACCCGGATATTTTTTGAGTTGAAAACAAATTTGTATTATTCAAGTTCTTAACAAGTGTTAATATATCAGAGATCTTAATGGTCGAATTTTAGGTAAATTACATATCTTTTCTGAATATTGCCTACATTTACTTGATATATTTACTGCTGTACTGCTTCTGTAGAGCGGCTGACAATTAACACTTACACGAAGTTAAACTCAGTGACTTTGTAGTTTTAATTGTTTTTTATACATATCCTAGAAATACAAATTGCCTTATCAATTTATTAATTGTTTTTATCGAGTGATGAAAACAAGGGGTGCAGCATTTCAACAGGGAAGTGAAGACCTTGCTTGCTTTACCCTCGCATGGATTTAACTGTAATTCTGTATCATTGTGTGTTTGAAGCTTTGTGAAATGATAGGGATTATTAGATGTTATGAAGATTATCTATTTTTATGGTGTTTTTTTGTATGAAATATCCATCAGATTTTGTTTTTATTTTACCAGACACAGACACAAATATCTGACGGAGTCATGGAAATTAACAGTAATCAGTCGTCCCTGGAGAAACGAGTCAACAAAATCGAGGAAAAGCTTGCTGGACTTCAGGTAAACTGTACAATATCTGTCTTCTCTTCTTGTGTACACAGAAAAACTTGCTGGACATCAAGTAAATTTGATTACAACTTCCTCTACGCAGAGAAAAAAAGTAATGGTAGATAAAATAAGGTTGTAGGCAAATTCTAAGATTACAATTTCCTGTGTGCAAAGGAAAAAACTTCTTGGACTTCAGCAGGCAAAGAGATCACAATTTCCATTGCGAGGGGGAAGAACTTGTTGGACTTTCGGTAAATTAGGCTATAACTTTGTTTGTATATTATAGTCATATATAGCCATGTGTCCAGAGGTTTTTTTTCTGAATTTTGTAGTTATGAGTTTTGTCTTTCTTGGATGCAACTGGTTGCAAAATCTGTTTGCATAACAAATCAATCATTTTTCCAGGGTACCCTCGATCAACTTCCCAGTCTGATTGCTGAAAAGGTGATACTGCGGCGATCAGAACACCAATCCAGACGAGACCATGGAGATCACCGGAATCTAGGGGGAGGGAGTGTGGGCAATGGGATGGAACCTACTATGGACTACCGACAATCCGAGTTCAATCAACTACGTAGAATTTCTCCCCCTCGTCGGAAGAAACAAGGAACTCAATCTGTATCAGGAGGGACAAGTCAGCTGTAGCAGCAGATTGTTCCTTGTGTCATTAAATCAACAGTGCCGATACAGGGTCCAGTATCTTCCATTCAGAGTTGGAGAGGATTTATCCTGGAAGTGCGTTTACATAGGACAGTTATGTGGCGTGATTTGACTAGTGTGAAAGCAGATTCAAGAAATGGAATGATAAATATTCTGCTTTAAAGCTCCGTGTGAGCCGCCATTGGTGAAGTTTGCTGTGATAAGTTTAGTGTGGCCCATAGTGGTTTCCTATCTGTTGAAGAAAGTGAATGAAACATCTTACAGACCCAGATCCGTTGGAGATGGGAACTTACGTTGCCTTGGTGTGATCAGACTGTCTGTCTAGAACGTTTCTAGATAGCCGCAGTATTTTAAATGATTAATGTTACATAAATACCTTTGTTATGGCTGTACAAAGCATTGGTGCAAAACAATGTCATACTCCATAGGAGTTTGCCATGTTTTGTCTGGAACACACCAGGGAATCATGAATGTAGAAAACAATGCAGGGATATAGTCAATATCTAGTGACAATGATTTGGGAATCGTAGATAAATTGTGCGTCCATATATATAGATATTGCAAACAAATTAAATGCTACATAGGAACATTGAAATTACAATAATTGCTTCATTTAAGTGACAAAAAAACACATTTGCAATTCAAGTTCAAAAAAGAGGAAGAAATGAAAGCATAGGCTGTCCCTGTGAAACTTTCTTGAAAAATGCAATAACAGTTCTTGAACTGCTTTAGAAGGAAAGGGCAAACACTGTTCATGATCTGTTCTTATGTACAAGAACAGAATCTCGCAGGGTTGAGATTTAGATGGTATAAAAACATCGCTCTCATATGAGTGAAGGCAAAATACAGTTCTCATTAGAGTGGAGGCAGAATAGCCATTTATAATACATCATTTAGATTTGCATTAAAACTGGTGATTTCAATTTCGAAACATTCCCTTGGTATTATGAAGACGTGTGGATATGAGAATTATATGTAAAAGAATCCACATTATCCGACATAATGTAACACAGTACGGCAGTATTGGTCATCACGTATGTGGTATCTGTATTAACAGAAATCATAAGTAGGTGATCAATATTAATCTGTAACAATGCATTTTTAAGGTATGGGAGTGAGGCTTGTCGATTCTCAAAGCTTTCTATTATACTCTGGTGTTTTTTCATCATAAAATTTTGTATTATCGTCATTGACAGCCAACCAAAGAGATACAATGGAAGAAATTGTTTGCCAAAACCTATGTTGGTAGTTGTATATTACAACTACCTGTTTTACTTATAAGTTTGTGACTATAAAATAAAATATCTCAGTGGAGATAAACATGATCAGGATCACGGACGTGTTTGTTAACTTAACGACTGCGTGTGCGGTGATAAAGTGTCATTTCTACTGGAGACATTATGTATACTTATTGTATCCTGCACCTTAAGCCTGATCCGTGTCCAGAGAATTTGTAAATATTATGAATTACAGTGTTAACTAGGAGTGGAGACTTTGATAAACTGAAAGCGTGTGGTGATTATGTGTAAATATATAATGCGTTCATATTATTATACACACGATATGTGCCTCTTAATGTACATAATTGTAAATAATATAAACATCCGCCACAACAAAAAGTTCTCAAAGAATTCAATGTGATCATTTTTTTCTAAGACTGTGATATTATTCCTTTGATTGATTGTTAAGTACTCATGCAAAAACTGTTGGGAGAGAATGCTATCCGATTGACCTTTTTCAGAATTTGTTAAAATATGGATTTTTTTCTCTGTTTTGTATATAATAAAGAATTTAAATTTGTATTCTTTGTGTTAACTGCTGGTCTATAAAATCCCACCAATTAGAATCTTTTTCAAATTTTGTTGAGAATTTCTTTTCTAATAATAAGCTTTCCTTAGAGTTTTATTAGTTGAATAAGATTTCAGCATTTGTTTAAATATTTTGATTACGAAGTCGGATATGATTATCTCCCACTTTTTTTTGTGTTATCGGTAGGGAATGAGTAAATGATTCAATTGAGTTTTTCCAATGTAACATTAAACATAATCCCGCTGGTTCCGGAACCCGCGGGGTTATAGTAACCAGCGCGAGTCTATTTTTATATCCTGCTGTATATAGAGTGACACTTCAATGTTTTGTAAATCCTAACAATTTAGCTGAATTTCCGTCGCTGAAGTTGCTAAATTTTTAAATTTCACAAATTTTATTAGCTCTATGATATATTAGCATTTTATCCACTGTTGAGGAGGCATTGTTAATTTAAAACTAAATCTTATCAATGAGTTGAAAAATACATTGTTGAACCTGGTTATATTTTGTTGGATGCTTTGGGTTAAAAGTTATCAAAATGTTGAATTAGATTTTGTTTTATACTTCATATTTCATACTTGCCAACCTTTCCTGATTTTTATGGAGGAGAAATTTTGTGCAAATTTGTAAAACTGTCTTCAAAATGATCCCAGTAATAAGCAAAGTTTATTAAATTCCAAAGTTGTTTTAAAAAGGAAAAAAAGAAAAAACGTGAAAAAGAAACCTTGAAAATCAGTCCAATATAGGGAAACTTGGCGAGTATAAAATAACATTTTCTAAGCTATATATATATCACTTCTAAGAAGAACTTTATAGTTGTAGTGACTGCTCAAGGTTTTATAGATCTTCCAAAAGCAAACCAATCTTCTAGTTTGCAAGTCAAAATTCATAATTACACTGTATACACAATGGTTTTAACCAATCACATAGGGCGTATAATAACTTGAACTTTAACCTTTAAGTCTCTATTTCTTGTGCCTAGAATAATGTTTAACAATTGAATCTCATTTCTTACTAACAAAAGTATTAGTAGAAAAGCTTTATTTTACAATAACACATTTAATTTATTATCATAGAAGTAAACATAGCTAGTACTCAGATATGTTTTAATGCATTCATTTTCCTTTTTTTTCATATCTGTAGGAGAAATTTCATGTCCCATGATAGCATTATAATTGAATAAGTATATGCATCTTATTACTTGATGTGTATATTTGAATACAGCAGAATGAATATTCATAGATATAAGTAGGCATCATGAATATTCATAAGTTATGGTTGGCATATTTTTATTTTCTTGTTTGGATTAAGTTAAATTGACTGTGTATGGGTTTGCCTACATAATTGTGATTTTATTTCTTTACAATTTACAGTTACTGCTTGAGTATGAATTTTCCTCAAATGATTTGCTGTGTGACAACGTTTTTTATACATATTTTTTTTCGGTGTATGTAAACCTAATATCGTTTTGGTTGACTCGATATTACTCGAACACATTCCTACCAGATGTTTACCCGCGTTGTACTCCAGGAAATAAAGAGGAAGTTCTTTGTTACAGTGTATAGTTTTACCCTGTGTATTATACATGTTTACTTTGTAAACATATTTGTTTACCTGTAAACAACAGTTATAGATTGATTGTTGATTATATACATACGTCTAGTGGATTTTTGCATTGACAGACCCTGTGTGTACGTGTTTCATCTACGAGAAAGATGCAAAGTGAAAAAATTTCACATCCATCCAAGTTGTTTTTTATTTATTTATTTATTTATTTATCCAGACCTCCTGTTAAGAAACTGCTCGGAAAACCATCAACACTGTCTATCAGACACCACAAAACTTCATCAGTCAATCTTTTCTCAAATACCTTAGAGCATTAGGGTACATTAAGGCTCAACAATATCCACAAAACTTAGAGCAATAGGGTAAGTTAAGGCTCAACAATATCCACAAAACTTAGAGCATTAGGGTACGTATAACTAAGTCATCGTGATTAAATCACATACCGGTTATGATTAAATGTTCTGGGTGATTTTAACTAACAACATTCTTAAACAGATTTTTGTTCGAATGAGTAATTATTTCTATAAAATCATAGCATAAACTGTACACGTATCATAAAAACATTAAGTTGGGAACATAACATACAGGATTGATCAAAGCATTGAATTTCCTTCTCAAACCTTCCATAGTGATTAAAACACAGGATAGTTTAAGTTTCAACCTTTTATCAAATGGCTTAGCATTTAGTTGTTTTCACAGGTAAATTTCAAATACTTTAAAGGTAGATTTTCGTTTTCCATACAAATTGATTCAGATTATTACTAAATAAGCCTATATTTATTAGAGGTATGACTTTATTTACATGTCAGAGTGTTTAATGTGGATCCCCCTAGTGGCATGAAGTTGTGATTTTATACCAAACTCGATGAAAATATGCAAGTATGAACATGTCTATGATGAATGTAACGTTATTGGCCTAACTTTTCAACTTAATATACATAAGAAAACATAAACCTATAAGAATGCTGATAGGTAATCTCACTCACTCAAGGTAAAGTCAATCATAGGTAATCTCAATCACTCAAGGTAAAGTCACTCACAGGTAATCTCACTCACTCAAGGTAAAGTCACTCAAAGGTTATCTCACTCACTCAAGGTAAAGTACCTAATAGGTTATCCCAATTACTCAAGGTAAAGTCACTCATAGGTTATCCTAATTACTCAAGGTAAAGTCACTCATAGGTTATCCCACTCACTCAATGTAAAGTCACTCATAGGTAATCTCACTCACTCAAGGTAAAGTCACTCATAGGTTATCCCAATTACTCAAGGTTAAGTCACTCATAGGTTATCCTAATTACTCAAGGTAAAGTCACTCATAGGTTATCCCACTCACTCAAGGTAAAGTCCCTAATAGGTCATCTCACTCACTCAAGGTAAAGTCACTCATAGGTCATCTCACTCAAGGTAAAGTCACTCATAGGTTATCCCAATCTCTCAAGGTAAAGTCACTCATAGGTAATCTCACTCACTCATGGTAAAGTCACTCATAGGTAATCTCAATCGCTCAAGGTAAAGTCCCTTATAAGTCATCTCACTCACTCAAGGTAAAGTCACTCATAGGTTATCTCACTCACTCATGGTAAAGTCACTCATAGGTAATCTCACTCACTTAAGGTAAAGTCACTCATAGGTTATCCCCCTCACTCAAGGTAAAGTCCCTAATAGGTCATCTCACTCACTCAAGGCAAAGTCACTCATAGGTCATCTCACTCAAGGGAAAGTCACTCATAGGTTATCTCACTCACTCATGGTAAAGTCACTTATAGGTTATCCCACTCACTCAAGGCAAAGTAACTCATAGGTAATCTCACTCACTTAAGGTAAAGTCACTCATAGGTTATCTCACTCGCTCAAGGCAAAGTCGCTCACAGGTTATCTCAATCTCTCAAGGTAAAGTCACTCATAGGTAATCTCACTCACTCATGGTAAAGTCACTCATAGGTAATCTCAATCGCTCAAGGTAAAGTCCCTAATAAGTCATCCCACTCATTCAAGGTAAAGTCACTCATAGGTTATCTCACTCACTCAAGGTAAAGTCACTCATAGGTTATCTCACTCACTCATGGTAAAGTCACTCATAGGTTATCTCAATCTCTCAAGGTAAAGTCACTCATAGGTAATCTCACTCACTCATGGTAAAGTCACTTATAGGTTATCCCACTCACTCAAGGCAAAGTAACTCATAGGTAATCTCACTCACTTAAGGTAAAGTCACTCATAGGTTATCTCACTCTCTCAAGGCAAAGTCGCTCACAGGTAATTTCACTTTCTATAGGTGAAGTCACTCACAGGTAAACTCTCTCACCTGATGCTGTAATTACTTACCTTAGTTCATGTTAACATAATTGTACACACTTTCAAGGTGACATTTTACTGTATTTTTTCTGAGAATGCCTTTTTTAGCTCACCTGGTCCGAAGGACCAAGGTGAGCTTTTGCTATATCGCAGCGTCCGTTGTCCTGCGTCCTGCATCCGGCTTCCGGCAACTTTACACTACTAGTCATGAACCAGTGAGCGGATTTTAACAAAATTTGGTGTGGAGCATCCTTGGGTGAAGTAGAACAAATTTTGTATAAATGGTGGGTCTGGCCCCCCAGGGGCCTGAGGGGCGGGGCCAAATAGGGGAAATATAGCAAATTCTTCTTTAAAATCCTTCTTCTTCTGTCGAAATGAAAGGATTTGTTCCATATTTGGTCAGAAGCATCCTTGGGGGAAGGGGAACAAAGTTTGTATAAATGGTGGGTCTGGCCCCCCTTGGGGCTGAGGGGCGGGGCCCAATAGGGGGAACATAGCAAATTATTCTTTAAAATCCTTCTTCTTCTGTAGGAATGAAAGGATTTGGTCCATATTTGGTATGGAACATCTTTGGGTAAAGGGGAACCAATTTTGTACAAAAGGTGGGTGTGGCCCCCCTGGGACCTGCGGGGTGGGGCCCAATAGGGGAAATAGACGTAAATCTTCAAAATCCTTCTTCTTCGGTTTTAATGACAGGATTTTGTCCATATTTGGTCTGAAGCATTCTTGGATGAAGGGTAACCAATTTTTTATAAACGGTGTGTCTGACCCCCCTGTAGGCAGAGAGGCGGGGCCCAATAGGGAAAATAGAGGTAAAACCTTTAAAATCCTTCTCCGACCATCAAGATTAAGGGATTTTATCCTTATTTAGTGTGGAGCATCCTTGGGTGACGGTGACTCAATTTTGTATAATTGGTGGGTATGACCCCCGTAGGGGCATAGGGGGGGGGCTCTGTTTGAAGTTTGTTCTCTATATCTCAAGTACTGGATGGAGCTTTCTGAAATTTCATATGTACTTACAGCACCTACCATAGACTGCTATATCTTTACTTCATACCAATTACTTTAATTATATTCAGGTGAACGATACAGGCCCTCTGGGCCTCTTGTTTAAGGTTGGCAGTTATGAAATAGCAGATTGTGTAAATGAGATTTCAATTCTCTTTGTTCAGTGTTTTATTTTGTCATTCATAAGTCAAAGGTGAAGTTTTGAAGATGTATTATCTTAATTAAATTAAGTTCATCTGATCAGTCTAGTGTTAGAATGGATTGGTGGACAGTTAGACCAAAACACATTACCTGGTGAAACAATGGAACACTCTAGGTAAATGTCTTAATTTTGATAAACCTTTACTTCTTTTGGTATTTACTATATGATGTCTGCTTTGAAATTAATTATAAACAATATATGATCACATATGGTGTTTTTTTTAAATAGACTAAATTGAAAACAATTTTGAAGTGAAATCATATTTGGAATAGTAGTTAAATTTTGCAAAAAGAAAAATTAGAAAACAAATATTAGAACAACAAATATCTGTATGGCATCCTACAACAGGTTTTAAGCTCATCTGGCTCTAAGGGACTAAACTAATCCTGAGGTGATGACGTAGAAACAGTTCAGATCCCTATCATCTGGCTCTAAGGGACTAAACTAATCCTGAGGTGATGACGTAGAAACAGTTCAGATCCCTACTCTGTTACCGTATAGCAAATTGCTTGGTTGAAGATACAAATACACCAATGCTACTAAGATTGGCCCCACCCCAGGGAATTAGTTCTTGATACACATTCTCTGCTTATATATATCATGTACTTTTTAAGCTATTGAGGCATCTGGGCCTATTGTCTTAGAAAAAATATCAATATATGAGATGTGTATAAAAAGAAAACTCCAGGGACTGTCAAGAACATTTAACTGAATACAAGAAGAGGATGTGTGTGGCTTACCAATGACCATTATGGCTTTTTGAGATCAACATTACAATTTGACCAAATCTACTACACTACTTGTCAGGCCTTTTGGCAAATTCAGGTCAGTCAAATTTGCCAAAAGGCCTGACAAGTAGTGTAGTAGATTTGGTCAAATTGTAATGTTGATCTCAAAAAGTTTAAAAACTTCAAAAATAATATTTGAAAATCAGGATTGTTGAGGCCATGGGAAATCATTAAACTATATGGCCCTGATAACCTTCATCACCTCCCTGTCTTTCACTCGCTCAATTCTCCACCCATCCCTTGCCACTTTGACCTTTCCACTGCAAAATACTTCATACACTACACAAACTCTTACAAAATTTTAATACGTTATAATAAATCTTATGTGCTTGAATTAAAGTAACTTCTCCTATTTTTGTGATTGAACAATTTAGTTTTCTTCTTAAGTGTAGAGATCTATAACCGTCATAGGGACTTGAGAACTGGGATCAATTGGAGGAGACAATGGGACTGAACAACTAAGACTGATTTAGGCGGACATGGCTAGCCTGTACTTGAGTCTAGGAGAATTAGGATAGTTTGGGATGACACAGGGCCTTGAAATCTAGGAAAGCTTTGGAGACACACGGCCTTGAGAACTGGAAAATCTTGGAAAGGGGAACACAGGGATTGGAGAATCAAAACTCTAATGGACGAAAATATAGTTTAAATATTCTGTCAAAAGCTATCTCAAATGTTCAAGACTGTTTGTAACTTGAAATTTTTTCTCGCTCCTACGGTCGTTTTTCTGTTACATCACATATTATTTAGGCTCAAAAAATATCTCGGATGACTTTGAATGTTCCAGAATGTCTCAAATTCTAAATATGACTCTCCTAACTAGATGGTTCTCAAATCTCGTAAGACTGACCTGAAATTGATCATTTTTGTCTAGGTTATG